GTAGGATGAATAGCTTAGGTAAGGAGGAGTTGACCCACCTCATGGGCTGTGGTGGCTGGCCTTATGCAGCCACACGGATCAGATGAGTATAATACGTTGGAACTGTCAAGGGTTAGAGAATGCCTTGACAGTCCAAACTCTACGAGAGATGGTTCGCTCTCACATTCTCTCTGTGATTTTTCTAATGGAAACCAAGCAAAAAAGTCGCAAGATGAACCAATTCAGAAAACAATGTGGATACCATTTGGTATCAATGTTGAGCTATATGGTATCGCTGGTGGGCTGTGTTTATGATGGAACCCTGTGCTAATGTACAAATTGTCTCATCATCCAAGAATTTGATTGACACCTTTATTCATTTCAAGAATGAAAATTTACTCTTCCGTGCATCATTTGTTTATGGTCCTCCTTATAGAGATGAAAAGCTGCCTTTTTGGGAAGACGCTATGACACTTGGTAATGGGAATGATTGTCCTTGGATTTATGCAGGAGACTTCAACAAGTTACTATGGGCTTATGAAAAAAAGGGTGGGACTCCATGGTCTATTACGAGGGTCAGACACTTGCGTAATTTTATGGACTCTAATTGCTTGATTGATATTGGTTATAAAGGACCAAGCTTCACTTGGGTCAAGATTGAGGATGGGTCCATTGTTTTACAAGAAAGACTTGACCCAGCCTTGGTTAATGATAAGTGGGTGGAGTGTAGGCCTTGCACTTATGTTATTCATAGACCCATAATTGGGTTTGATCATTGCTTTATCATACTCTACCTCATGCCCAAGATAGGAAAGTCCAAAAGGCTTTAAGTTTGAGTCTTCTTGGGCCACTGAACCAGATTGTGGTGATGTTGTTAAACAAGGATGGGACAAAGGTAGAGAAGTCTTAGGTTACACAAAGTGGCAATCTAGTCTTGGGCATTGTAAGCGTTACCTCATCACTTGGAGCAAGGAGAAATTTCTGAACAACTCGGTTAAAATTAGAGAGCTCCTAGTGGAGTTATCTGATATTCAAGATAGTAATGACTCTTGCAACCAACGTGAGTTTGATATTAACGCCAACCTCACTGAGTTGTGGAAGAGGGAGGAATTGTACTAGAAACAGAGACCTAGAATAAATTAGCTAAAAGATGGTGATGGCAACACCAAATTCTTTCATTTATCCACAGTTATGAGAAGGGGTCGAAACTGCATTGTAAAAATTTTGGATGATGAGAGCGTGTGGGGTAGATAGTGATTTAGCTATCAGAAAGGCTTTTCAGAATTATTATATGAACTTATTCTCCACAAGTGGGGTTAGACCCTGGGGAAGGTCATCTCCCATATGCAACCCACCATTACTCATGCTATGAACTCCACTCTTTGCTCTCCGTTCTCCATAGAAGAGGTCCATGAAGCTGCTTTTCAATTGGGGGCCTTGAAAGCTCCGAGCCAAATGGTTTTCCTAGTCTATTTTACCACAAGTTTTGGGAAACAATCAATGACACTATTATGGATACAGCCACAGAGTTTCACAAGGGTCGAGTGATGTTACAACAACTCAATCAAACCCACATAACCCTCATTCCCAAAGTCCCAAACCCCAAATCCACTTCACAGTATACCCATTAGCCTTTGTAACAATTCGTATAAAATCATTTCCAAGATCCTAGCTAACCGACTCAAAGCAATCCTCCCCAATATTATCTCTTATCATCAAAATGCTTTTGTCCCTAATAGACAAATACAATATAATATTCTCATTGTCCATGAAGCTTTCCACTACTTAAAGATGAAGAAAAAAAAGTGAAGTTTGTGAGCTTGGTCTTAAGTTAGACATGAATAAAACTTAAGATCGGATTGAATCGGATGGAAGCCATTATGAGAAGGATGGGCTTTGATGATCGTTGGATACGGTTGGTCATGTTGTGTGTCACAACGGTTTCTTTCTCTGTAGTGATCAATGGAAAGCTAGGGCCATATTTCTATCCTACTAGAGGATTAAGGCAAGGTGATCCTCTTTCCCCTTATCTCTTCCTTCTAATTAGCGAAGTTTTATCCCAAAATTTTTTATGTGACACTAATTATCATTTTTTGTAGGGTATAAAAATCTTTAGAGGAGGGCCTACTTTGTCACATCTTTTATTTGCCGACGACTCTCTCTTCTTCATGAGAGTCACTAAGATGAATTGTAGTAGACTGATGACAATTTTTTAGGAATATTGCCTAGCATCTGGACAAAGCATAAATTATGATAAATCATCTATCTTCTTAAGCCCAAATACTCCATTCCCATTAGTAAATCAAGTTTGCACAATTCTCAAAATCCCTGTCTCTACAGACCCAGGGAAGTATTTGGGTCTACCAGCAATATGGGGAAAGTCTAAACATGATGCTCTCGTCTACGTCAAAGATCGAATCTTGAACAAGATTCAAGGTTGGAAAGCAAGTTCACTCACTATGGCAGGTAGGGAAATCCTTCTGAAGTTAGTAGCTTTAGCAGTTCCTACGTATCCTATGACTTGCTTCAAGTTTCCCACTACCACTTACAATTCTTTCAATGAGGATCTTGGGAGATTTTGGTGGGGTGAATCTGAGAAAGGAAATCGTATTCATTGGAAAAGCTAGAAGTATCTTTGCGGCACTAAGAATGAGGGGGGAATGGGGTTTAGGGAGCTTGAAAACTTTAGCATCTATCTTCTTGCAAAACAATGCTAGAGAATGATGAAAAATCCAGATGCCTTTTGGGTTCGTGTTCTTAAGGCTAAGTACTTTCCAAGGTGTGATTTCCTAAAAGTTACAAGAGAAGCTCGCCCTTCTTGGACTTAATCTAGTTTACTTGAAGGCAGAAGAATTATTCTTGAATGAGCTAAATGGCATGTAAGGAATGGTAAATCAATCAAAATCTAGTAAGATAATTAGCTTCCTACCTTGGAATGCACCCTCTACCTCTGCAGTTGATTCTTGGGCCAATTCTTTGATTGATGTGAACACTGCTACTTGGAGACTGGACTCAATCTCTAATATTTTATCTTCACATGACATTGCTCTTATCAAATCTATCCCACTGTACAATACTCATAATCATGATTCTCTTTTCCAGCCTCGGAACAATGATGGTGTCTATACGGTAAAGAGTGGATATCATTGGGCACTATCACCAAAAAAAAAATCTGTGACTACCACTATATCTTGTTCTCACTTGATTGATAAAGAGGTCTAGAAGATTTTGTGGGAGCTAAAGGCAATTCCTAAAGTTCTCAATTTTATTTGGCGTGCTTTAAACAATGCTCTTCCTAGCAAATTTAATCTTTTTTGCAAGCATCTACATGTGAATCCAATTTGCCCTTTCTGCAAGGATCAAGATGAATCGATTGAGCATTTGCTTCTTCTATGCTCGTGGGTACAGTGTGTGTGGTTTGGCCTACCAATTAATTACAAGCCAAACTCTCATCAAATTACATCATTTGATTGCTAGCTATTCTCAATGGAAAAACTAGTTACAACCAACACTACACAACGCACTCTCCTACGTTCTTACCTTGTTGTTGCTTGCTGGGAAATTTGGAAGGAACGGTGCTTTGCTTTGTTCAATGATAAATCCCCCAAACCTGCTACTATCTTGCATTGCATTCTCAATTTAGTATCGAACTGCAATAACATCTATCGTTGTCGTCAACCACATGCAAATTCTGCAATACAAAGAACTCTTTCTTGGCAAGCTTGTCAATGGCCTCTTATTAAAATTAATGTCGACGGTGCATGGAATCAAGCTACAAGTAAAGCATGTGCAGGGATTATTGCTTGCAATCACAACGGTACATTTTTAGGTGGTGCTTCTTTACACTCACATTGATCCTCGTCCGATGCCGCCAAAGTAGAGGCTGTTCTTGGGGGTCTGAAATTTGCCAAAGCAAAATGCTTCAATCATATCATCATTGAAAGCAATTCTTCCAAGGTCATTGATTGCTTGCGGAAACCAAACCTTCGCAACCAATAGTGTCTATATCGAATTATCGATGAAATTCGTCGAGCAGTGGCTTCCTTTGCTTTTGTTTAGTGGAACTGCGTTCCAAGAACGGCCAACCAAGCAGCTCATGTGGCTACATCTTTAACTGATTTGAAAGTGAGCAATCTCTTGTGGGCAACTTTGCCCCTCCCTTACTAGTTATGGTGCTATCTTGGAATGGGCTTCCATGTCCTCTGCCATCTTTTGATTGAGGTTTGATAGTGGTATCACTATTAGCCTCTACCTCTTTTGTTTCACCTGAGTGATGTTCAGTAGTGTTTGTCTGATTGTCTATGCCGTATTTCGCTACTGCTTAGTTTGTATCGACTGCACTCTTTTTTTTTATTCTGGGTTCTGCCTTTGGGCTATCATAGCCTTTATTTGTACTTGTTGTCCCTCTTTGGGTCTTTATTGAAGTTTTCATTTGACCCCAAAAAAGAAAAAAAAAAGGCATGATATATTAGATGTGTGGACATCATTTTCATAATCTTTGTATATGGTTTTATAACTTCCAACTTAATGTGAATAAACTAATATAAATGATAGTAGATGGTGTATGTTTTTTTTAGAAATTTCTATTCAATGTTATTGCAGAAGATGTAAACATTTTTATAAGAATTCGGTAAAAAGTTTTATCATTTAGTGAAATTTTTTAATCATGTATATTATGTAAAAGTTTTTTTCCCAAAATTCACCTTGCAAGTTTTTTTTTTTCCCAAAATTGAACCAAATGAAAAAAAAAATTATTCAACATATCCAAAATGTTTTTAAAATAACTAAAATCATTTTTAGACCACCAAAAACGTTTATGATAATGTTACAGAAAAAGTTCAAAGTACTTCTAGATTACAAAGTAACTTGAAATGCTTTGCTTTAGAATAAAAATGCAAATACTTTATTTGCATTTCTATTATAAAATTCGATGCGTTTCTAAAATAAGTGCTTTTAAAGAAACATTTTCAAACAAAAGAGAGTACAAATAGTAAAGCAAAGGTGCAGGTAGATAAAAAACATTTGGGTCAAATCAAATAAATCCTTGTGAAGGAAATGATAAATACAACATTAACTTTTTTTTTCTAGCTGCCCTATGCTTTTCTATAATTAGTAGGACACTTGGACCCCTCATAGCCACCCTGCAATTTATTACTGCTCTTTCGGACCACATTGAGATCTTCTGCTTTCTTTGCAGCTGCTTGGTTATTATGATGAGCTGTTACCATTTTCTCACAAGATGGGCACATTGTAAGCATTGTAGCCTTTGGAATCTGAATGTACAATGGTGATGTCCCGTTGCCGTTTAATGATTTCAGCTCCTGCAATTCTTGCTTCAACCTCCGATTCTCGATGCTGAGACTTTCACAGCATTTCTTTAAGAACTCACAGTCTACTTCTGTTTGCTTCAACTTTGTCCTGCGGATGCATGCACATCAGTTTATGTGTCGCCTTTTGAGAACATATATAACATGTCAAACTGTTTGGTACGAGAATATTTCTATTTATGAGTCACCTTGCTCTTCTGTTCTGAAACCAAACTTCAACTTGTCTTGGCTTCAGATTCAATTGCTCAGCGAGTGACTGTTTCTGGGCCTACATAATATAAATCAAACAAACTAAATGGTAATTAAATAAGTAAAATAATTCTTGACAAAGCAAGCCTTCACAATTTCTCATCTTTATCTTTTCATCAACCGTTATGTCATACTGAGGAACCAATATTCATGAGGGAGAACGAGTTTGAAATTCAAAATTATAATAGAACTGCTCGATCCCCCTTATGCACTCAGAGTTTGAGTCCCCCTCTTTGCAATTTAGATGAATTTAAACTAGAACATCGCTTCTATAATAAATAAATAAATAAATAAATCTAAAACATGGCTAAATCAGATTAAAGATTTATATAATACCAGATTAAGGGTGCTATGCCGATTGAAGCTCTCTTCAAGCAAGGTGGATTGCTCTTTTGTGAGCCTCAGCTTCTTTCTCACAACGTTTTTGTTGTTCATGATTACACCCTTTATATTGGTGTGCTCAGTGCTTCTCTCATAACTATCTTCATCTTCATCCATCGTCTTCAAACTTGATCCTTTTGCGATGTGATCGTCCGAACTAGGAACCTCCTTCTTCGGGCAAAGCGCAAATGATAGGTCCAAGCAAACCGAAGGATTATCCTTCTTCTCTTGCCTTGAAGCATATTCACACACACCAAGCCCTAGTTGGAGCTCTGTGTTGCATGCTGCTTCATCACCATCCATGTTTGAGAGAGAGAGAGAGATGAATATAATTGTGAAATGGGAAAGGTGGGGGATAAGAGGGATTTGATGGAGATTTTATTTTGGGGGTTGAGTCTTAATCAGTTATTAGTCATAATAATTTTGATTGAGAAATTACTTACACCAAATAACCCGTTTTAATGTACTAATGAAAAGTAGAGTAGAAGAGTAAAGGAAGACGTTAAAATTCTGACTCCTTTTAGGAAACCAAAACCTCCTTTAATGCCATATGTTTTCCTTCAAGAATTCCATGGGTTAATGATTTTTCTTGAGCTAGCATTTTTTTCTCATCCATAAAGTTGACTTTCCCCATAACAACATTATCTAGTCTTTTCTTCGACTCTTTCTTCTTAAACTGATCTCCACTCATACAAAACAAATTAAAAGAATTCATATCCAATAATTTGCTGAATGATGTTCCTCAATCCCAATTCCAAGTTTCTCCATTGTTCAAGTTTGATCAGGCACACCTTGATTGTAAATACATGTAACGGTCGTGGTAAGTATCGTCATTTTGGGGTACATTATTCATGTTTCTTTTTTTGTACTTCTTACTATTAGATAGTGCCCATAAATCTTATGATAGGCATCCCGCCTGAACATAACATTAAGTTACGAATGTAACTCCCGAGGAATCGACCACTATTCTAAATATAGTAAGAGAAAGAACTATTATTCATTAGAGCGCCGGGACGTAGGGGTTGTTCCCATCATTGAAGTCAGAGTGTGGGACTGAGCTTTCCGAATGATAAAGACAAAAAAGTGTATCAGGGAATCCCAAATTCCTAAACATCGGTATTTTTCTCATCTTAAATTTATTGGAGTTTTTAGAGTTTCATTCAATTCCATTAGTTAATGCAGTTTTGACTCTTTGCTGGAACTTTTCAATTGGATTTATATGTAGTAATTGGGAATTGGCTTTATGTGGTTTATGATCATTCAATTTAGATGGCTTGAATATTTGACTTTATATAAAAATGATAATGAACTGAAGACTGAAGTGCCGAAGTAAGTTCTTTTTTAATTGCATTTTGTTTTGATTGAGTCCGTGGTTGTTTATTTGATCAAACTTGTATTATATTGACTCTTTTTCCTTTGTATTATTTAAATAGTTATGGAGAGGTATTTTAAGAGAAAACCAATAGAAGATACTCCTAAACCCTCGACAACGAATATTTATGAAAGTTCAAATCGAAGTGGCATAAAAAGTATACTAACAAATCTTCTGGGCTTCAACTTCAGATATCATCATATGATTTAATTATTAGAGATCAGGTCTAAAGAGCTTATTTACAGATGGAATTGTTTCAACCTTGAAGCCATCAATTTCCATATACATCATTTGTAGGAGTACAATGAATTATATTTTGACAGCGTTTGCATAATGACTTTTCTAGATTAAAAGGAATTAGTAGTCTTGCACAAAATTTGATGGAGATAAAGAGGATAGACAATATCCCTTGGTGTACTTGTTCGTCAATTTAGCATTGATTTTACCTATTGCGACTACTTTCGTTGAAAGAGTTTTTTCGTTGATGAATATTGTGAAGAATCCACATTGTAATAGGATGGGAGATAAATGGTTGAATGATATTTTGGTTGTATACATTGAAAAAGATGTATTTGATTCTATTGACAATGATATTGTGATACGATGTTTTCAATACACAAGAACAAGTCGTGGATAATTATAAATGAAAGTATGATCGATTTTTAAAAACTATTTTTTATACAATTGCGGTGAATTCCTAGCTTCGTCACTAATTGTGATGGTTCATTATATTTATAATAGTATAGGAATGCATCAGTTTGAGGAATAAAATCAAATCCCTATTTACAAGTGAACATTTGAAATACAACCTATCCAACAACTGTTGCACATTTGAATTTCAATTTCAGAGCTAAACTATGGTTCGACATTAGCCTGTGAGAAAGATTGCGTGATGGTTACGGTTTGGTTGTTAGATGTGGATTTAATAATTTTAGTTTGAGTTAATTTAATTTTGTACTTGATGGTAATTATACAAGAAAAATGATAAGCATTCACCTTTTTAGCCTTTTACACACCCATGTTTGATCCTGACAATAGATTTCGTTTAACTTATTCAATTCGATGACCTGAAATAAAGAGAGGTGTGTGATAAGCTCAAAAGGGTGTGTGAAATTCACTTCCCTTATACAATAAGGCAAAAAGACAATTCACATTTAACGTTTAAATTGAGTGTCCTAGTGTTAAGAGTCCTAGTTTTTTAGATAGGAACAGAGCGCCAAATGCGTTTAAAAAAAAAAAAAACCTTCAGTTTATTCACTAAGGAATTTCGTCAAATACTAGATGATCTTATTGTCATCAATCGAACTATATTGCACACGGACTAACAAATATCAACAATTTGATGAGTATTATCGAGAACTTTTGTCAAGTGCTATCGACGCAACCTGCTGAGATATGCCCAGCAAACATTACATCAAGCACTTCGTGGGCACAAAAGGGGTTCATACCAAACATGATCTTCACATGCGTATTTCTCAGCCTCTAGGAAATCTTGAGATCACCTTGGTCCCGATGTACATTCACCCTTAGCTATAAAGTGAGATTATATTGATTCAAATAAAATTTCTCCAATTTAAACTTGGAAACCAACTAGGTTTTGGCCAATTTGGTGACGATTTGTCAATATGACTGCAATAGTTTTATGTTTTTTCGGTCTTAGTAGTTTTAGGTTTTGGCCAATTTGTTGAGAGTTTGATACCTATTTTTGTGAGTTCAATTTCTACTCACTGTCATTGAAATTTCTCTGGATAATACTAATGATGTTGATTTTGTGGAACCATGCACTCTTTGTTAATGCAATTACTCGGTTCTCATTGTGAAGAGAGACTCTCATTCAACCGGTGATGCCATATGGTAAACATTTACTAGATAGTTATGTTACTTTTGAACACGTAACAAACATTTATTGAACCGGTAACGCCACTAGGGATATGCATTGGTTTAAGAGAATCTCTTCTTAGTGTGGCGAATAAGCTGATCAACATCATCCTCATAACCATTCCTGACCCATTTTTTTCTTAACCACTACTGAGTTGATCCTCACCTCTGGATTGACAACTATGAAAGACCACCATAGCAAAAGAAAACTCTATCAATGTTAAAAGTAGCTTTGAACTCACTCAGTCTCCCAAACATCTTACAAGAGCTTTCATGCTGCAGTCTACAATCTGCATGCTGTAAAAAACGGTTGAATGCTCGATGCCTGTTTGATAACTATTTTGTTTTTTTATTTTTAGGTTTTATCTTAGAGATATAAGGAAAATATATGTGAAAAATGAGGGATTTAGAAGAGTTGTGTAGAAAGGATGGTGGGAAAGATGTAAAAGAAACATATATAAGAAAGACGCACAAAAAGAAAACCAAAAACAATTTTAAGTTTTCAATTTGAAGTTTTCTTCCCCTCTCTCCCATCATCCTTGTTCATCTTTCATTTCCCTATATACTTTCTTCATCTTTCATTTGACAATAAAACCATCATCACAGATTGCATCTTGAAAAAAAGATGCCCTCAACATCAAAATTTTGGAGAGAGAGAGAGAGAGAGTGGGGAAAGCAGCCAAAGATTGACATGGGAAAAATAATTAGTTGTTGGTGAGGACAAAACATGGTTAGTGATTCAATCGTGAGTGGCTTTGTTTGAAATGAAACACAAAGGTGAATTTCAGTTTCTTCTCTTTACCTGCCCTGCAACACCAGACGGGAATCCAGTTGGACATTATTAAGCCACAAGTAAGTCTTCACCAAAGATAGTAAATTTGGTAACAGCATAGACCCTGGGGACACACCTGTCTACACCATTCTGGGCTGCCCTCTCTCTCTCTCTCTCTCTCTCTCTCTCTCTCTCTCTCTCATAACAACAGAATCACAAGCATGGGCTCAGACATGTTTCCCCAGTCCCTTAATCAATAATTATCTCTCTCTCTCTCTCTCACACACACACAGTGGAATGCTCTCAATATATATACATATATTATACACACACACACAAACATTGGTGCTCCAACTTTTCCTTCCCTAAGTACAGGAAGCTTTTCATTTCAGCTGTATAAATGATGAAATCTTTGTGTATCATCATCTTCTGTTTCCTCATAACAGGTCTCTAGCTTTTCAGTTCTCAGATAACATGCCAAATGAATCCTGTTCAAGCATGTCAGTCTTTCATGAGTTAACAATCATAATGTTCAGTTCTTCCTGAACAGTCTGTTTAGTGACGGAAAACATTGTAATTTCACTTCAAGTTTGTAGCTTGAAACCATCTGATTCTGTTTTTGAAGTTTTTTTAATAGATGTTGTGTTCGTATTCTATTGTTATCCAAAACCATCGTTGAGGTTGTGTTACATGTAGGACATTGATGAAGATGGAGAGTCAGAAGCATCCAAAGTCAAAGAAATTCCACTAGCAATCAAACATGCAAACAGTAACAATGAATTAGACGAGCTTGTTTATCACATTGATTATCATGGAGTGACTACTCATCCAAATCCAACACCCAGACATCCCACACCATAGACCAGTACTGAACCTTCTAGACTGAGATGTATGCAGATACGATGTACTTATATATCTTATGAAGGATTCATGAAAAAAAAAAATATATATATATATATATCTCATTAAGGAACACTTGATTAATGTTGTCTTTAATACTGTTGCGGAATTCATTTTTCTTTTCATCATTTCGCTCTACCTACATAGCTGTTTGTTCACAAGAATAAACCAAGTCAACAAGTGAAGAATGACGTACCTTGAGCCATAGGTTATGGAATGGCACTTTAACCGTAAACTGGCTACATTAGGTATAAAGCTGGATCATTGACGTATGAATCAGATCCCACTGTGCAAAACGGAGTTGATTCATTCCCTTCCATCAGGGTCTCACACTGTCGGAACTAGCTATAATTAGGAACAGAGAGGAGGAAGCGAATATGTTACTAAATTCATAATTGATAGTGCAGTGAAACCATCCCATTCATATATTGCTTTCTGGCCTTTCTATATGTCTCTAGCAGTATCTTATACCTTTCTATTGCATCCTCAAATATCACCTCACTACTAAACCTGGATGTTAGCTGCTGGAATGCAGCTTCCACCTTGCCTTTATGTTGACTGCACAATGTGAACAAGTTTTTCATCCCCATCAAATGCATATTCCGTTCACAATTTGGACTGCTTTCCTCCTCCGTATTAAGAAACCCAAGCCATCTAATTCGTTGGAAAGGATCTTCGCCTTTCTGAATTGCTAATTCTACATTCCTGAACACTTTCAAGAACTGTGACTCTATTTTAATTTTGTCAATCAACTGACAGAAAATGATTCGCTGGTTTAAATCAAGCCAATTATGGATATGCGATTGTGAAAACACCGAAGCAACCAAGCAAGCCTTCCGGAAGGTAGAATCAGAATCGTCAATCAGCACAATAGCAGCGTGCAACAAATTCACAGATATATCATGAATAATTCCAGATGAAGACTTGGAAAGGTTATTAGCTTTTTTTTGGTTCTGGTTCCAACTGAAGAGTGCAACATGAACAAATCCCTCCCACCTGTACACATTGAGAACCAGAGTATGTCAGAAGTCTAGCAATGTTAATTCGAATATGAGTTCAGAATTTTTTACATGTTACTTGAAGGTTTTTTTTTCTTTCAGAAATCGAAATGTAATGGCAATTTCTAATTATAGATACATAACCAACCAATACCATAACTAAACTGAAAGTTTTTGAATTACATTTTGATCTAATATACCAGTACCAGATTAGAAATTGACATCATGCTAACAATGAAACCTTGGGCACATCGAAGTGGATTCAAACTATACTTTGACCAGACATTGTACACACATGCCATCAAATTAGAAACAGAAGGGTAATCAATCACTTTCTTCAATCCATATTCTATGTGAAATAGTGATGACCTCTGAAAGTAATTATTTAAATTCAAAGGCCAAAAACCTAATATAAATTTCCAATAGTATTAGCACACATCTTAGCGTGGTAGTAAACAACAATCATGGAGTACCATATGCACATGTATGTGTCTGTCTGTGTGTGTATTTATTTAAACGACTCAGCTTCAATATTACATAAAGTTAGGATGTACTTTTCCACAGACAGGGGGTCAAGAACTTGTGTCTCTGTCGTGTAGAAAAAAGATGTCAATTACTCAGCACCATATGATATGGTCACAAATGTGGATCAGCCCACATGCATTGTTCAGCCTCAGAAACAAAGACGTTTCAATGAAGAATCATTTTAAGCAGTCAAAAGAATTCTTTTAATCTTTTGTATGGTTAAAAATATCTTTTGACTGCTTAAAATGATTCTTCTTTGAAACGTCTTTGGGTGTAAGCCAACTCCTTATAAGAAAATTCAAGGTTCTTAATCCCCTGATACTTTCAACATGCCCCCTCGCTTCTGGTGTCATCTAAGACTGCACGTGGACATTACATATTGTGTGACGTGGGAACATGTGGGCAGTTGGGAACAACACGTGAGCAACCTGCTTTGATAACATGCTAACACTAGATAATTAAACTTCAACAGACCCAGAAAGCCCTTGAATTCTAGACAATTCAAGTAGTTTGTGTAACTGACCAATTTTATGTTACAGTTACCCAAGTGTTGTGAACTCAATAATTTATAGACCAAGCTCCCTATCTGTTCAATATTTCCCCCACACAGTGCTTAGGAGTCAATGACGGCTTTTGGAGTTAAGTGGATAGGGATACGGTCAACAGGACTCTAGACAACAACTAGTCATTCATTGAGCATTCTGGAGATTCTATTAAATTAAAATGAAGAGAATGTCATAAAAGTATACAAATGACATTATCACAACAGATATTGTTCATGCCCACAAGACAGTTAGCACAGGTCAATATCTATTCATATCTTATCTATAATTGGTAGATAATGTATATCACAGCATCAATATTGCAAAATTCCCTTATATCCACAAAATATTCAATGTTCCACGTCAGAGGGTGAAAAATAAGTTAAAACTATCTGTATGCTTTCGTCATATATCACCTGCACACATGCTCTGCACGATGCTGAATCATGTACCTATAAGTTTACTTACACTACCAACATCCCACTTGGAAATATTTTATCAATAAACTATGCCAAAAATCATAGCCTTTTGATTTTTTATAATTTTAATAATCAACTAATTAGAAAAGTAAATTCCTAAATACACAATATGAGGACCAAGGATATCTTAAATCACATGGGTAGAAAGTGATTTCATGAACATATTTGACCAAAAAAACCACAGCGGTAGCAATTAAGAAAGTTGATCATTAACGATAGATTATATTTTACTCATACTTACTCAAAAGGAGGCTCAACCTCAATACCGAGTGTAAGGTGTAAGGAATTGCCATCAGACCCATCAAAACTAACATTCTCCGTGCATGCCTCATGGAGAACACCTCTGGGAATATACAAAATATCACCTTCTCTCAGCAAAAATTGTTTGCATTCAGCTGGTGAACTCTGCACTTCTGAAGCATGTAGTTGATTAAGAGGATCATACAAGCGAGGTAAATGCACATTTGACTGAGGATACAGTCTCCATTTCTTAGTCCCAACAAGTTGGCATACAAACACACAATGGTCATCGTAGTGGCAGGCCAAACCCTGAGAATTAGGTGGTGTCAAGTACATATTGGCACCAATTGATGGTTGACCAAAAAGAGATGCCAATCCATCTGCAATAGCTGCAACGCTCTCAAAGCGGAACTCCATTCCACGCAGTGCAACTGTATAACCTTCCTTGTATGCTTCTTCGCATTTTAAAACATCTTTAACACCAAGATAATGAGGATCCCTTGTACAACAAGAGTTCAAACTGTTCTGAAAAAAATGTTCCTCCCTCTTAAGGTGGCAGTCTGTTCTTAGAACCCGAATGTCCTGCTGGTAGGTTAGAAGGCAACCCAATTTATTTTTCACCTCCTCTAGGAAAGTAAGGATGTTAAATTCATCAGAAGCAATAGGGAGACAAGAAACCATCCTCGGAAGCATAGAAGAAAGAAAGGAAGGAAATGTTCCTGTTGAGTTTAGTGATCGTACAAACGGTCCAAAAATATCATTCTCCTCAACTAAATCCCCTTCTGGATGCCCACGCCGCACAAGAAATGGTGACACCTCCCACTGATTTGATACGAAATCCTTAAAACCAGACTCAGAGAATCCAAATATATCCCTTTCAACCACATGAAAAGGCAAAGGCTTGATAAGCTGAGAGGCACAAATGGAAAGCCTAAAAAGGGTTTCGGCTATATCACTAATCCTAATGTTGCTAATATGTAAATGCCCCCCTTGGGTGGACTCTAATTGGCTTTCGAACACCATTTCATTCCGCACTTTTACCCACAGATTTCTCATGAAGGCGAAAAAAACATGAGAGAAGTTTGTTGGGATGTTCTCCAATTGCTCAATTTTACAGGTATTGATGAGAAGAACTGCAGCACTAAGAAGTAACACAGGAAGTTCATCTCCCTTAAACCCAATTTTAGGAGCGATAACTCCCCCACTATCCACAGAAACAGAGCAAAAAGACACTGAATTTTCCAAAGATTTATGAACCTGAAGAAACCCAGAACTAAAAACCTATCACATGACAAGCCAAGTAAATGAAAAACAATGGAAAGCAAAATAGTTGGGTTTGACAAAAAAAATGTTGGGCACTCACAGAATCCTGGGAAGCGCAGAGGAATCGAGCAAACGATACCGTCCGAAACCAGTGGTGCACAGATCCAGAAGGGCATTGCAGGCAGCCACTGAGACGCCGGTGTTGGAGCTGGCCAATGCGGAGAGCAAGCTATTGATTATGTCAGCATCGGAAGCAATCCTCTGGTTCATGTCCAAGGACTGCAGGGCTGCGTACCCCACCATCTCAGCGGCACGGCGAGATATTGCAGGAGAGTTGAAAGTGAGGAGAGTTGGGAGAAGAGAGAGGGTGGGATCGGTGATCGAGCGGTGGAGTTTGTTTAGGCATTTATTGATTAAGGGTCGGAGGGAGTTGGGGTTCAGAGATGAAAGAGCGGCCAGCACGACGGCGAAGGCGGTGTCGTCGCTAATGTCGTCGGATTCCGGCTTTCTTTTTCTTTTGCTGCGATTCTCCATTTATCTTTCTAGTAGGTGAAGGGAGTTGAGCTTAAACTCTTCTAATAGCAGTTGGCAATAGTGTCATCTGACCAGCCTTTTATCCAAAACATTCTCATTTTTTTTTTTCAAAAAATTAGGATTAAGTGTGAACCCACTCCATATCGAATTTTAATTATCCGAATCGTTTATTTTGTAAATTTCGATTCATAAATCATTCTTACAAAAATTCAATTCAATCCGAAACCATTTGTCTATTTAATTATTTAGATAAAATTTAATTGTTTTTATATAACAAAATATTCGTTAATTTTTTTTAACCCAATTAGATGTCTTAAATATTTTCAATTTGGCTAATATTTTGTGATGATCTATGAGGTACAACTTGAAAAATAGACTGTTCGAATCGTTAAAATTTGATATGGTGTGGACCCCACAATTAATCCGTAATTTTATAAATAAAAAAAAAATCTCTTCCCTTAAAGACTGTTCGAATCGTTAAAATTTGATATGGTGTGGACCCCACAATTAATTCGTTAATTTTTTTTAACCCAATTAGATGTCTTAAATATTTTCAATTTGGCTAATATTTTGTGATGATCTATGAGGTACAACTTGAAAAATAGACTGTTCGAATCGTTAAAATTTGATATGGTGTGGACCCCACAATTAATCCGTAATTTTATAAATAAAAAAGAAAAAGAATCTCTTCCCTTAAAGACTTCTGTCATCTGACAATGTAACGCTAATCCAATCCACTTTCCAAGCCAAGTCCAGCTTTGTTGTTGTCAACTCCATAACCATGCTCTTTCAACTTCTTTTGAGTCTTGGTAAGGTCACGTTCTTTGTCGTTCACGGTGTTTGAAACCTTCTTTGCAAGATTGGAAGAGGAAGCGAAGTCGTACCAGCCTTCGACATAAGTTTGTAGGCTTTTGGATCAAAACCTTCTTCGGTCCTCTTGGTTGGAAGATAGCTTGGTTCCACCCCCTTTGGCAGAGCTTTTATGAAGCCTTGTGGTACTCTTGCAACCTTAGCGTCGCTTAGCTGTGTCAAAGGCAAAACTGCATTCGTCTTGAGCAACTTCACATTATCCTTATGCCACTGTGTGTCGGCTTTGCTTGCTCCAACTTCGAGCGAGGATTAACCATTCTTTCTTCTCGACATCGGGATGTATCGGAAGACGGGTGTGTTCAGTCCTTTTGAGGCCGTCCTACTCCCTTTGGTTGTTACAGATTTAGTAGGCTCATCATCATTTTTGCTTGAAGATGGCATGGCTTCTCCTTCCGGCTTCTTGGGCAGGGCTTGCCACTTCTGCTTTTTAGGTGTTGCTTTGCCCGTGGATTTAATCTCTTTTGGAAGAGCTTCGAGCACCATGTTTTCCTCCATGTAGAACTTGGCGTCTATGAAGTGTGATTCAGCTTCGGTGAATAGCTTGGTATCGCCTTGGATCACCTTCACTCCTCGATAAAATTTTAAGCATTGGTGGAGGGTGGATGGCACTACTCCATTCTCGTGGATCCAAGGCCTTCCTAAGAGCAAATTGTAGGAAGTTTTTGCATCAATCACGTGGAATATTGTGCTTGATTTGAGTTCACCAATGGTTATCTCCAGGATCATGCCCATCGCTCTTTGTCCTCCTAGATTAAAACCTTGGATTAGTAGACGGCTTAGGGATAGTTCATCCACCTTGATGCCGATTGTGGTCATTGTTGACTTTGGCATGATGTTTATGCCCAATCCATCATCCACAAGCATGCAGTTGACTTTGTGCTCCCTTACATACCCAGAGACAAAAATATGACGGTTGTGAGGCTTGGATCCTAGCAGTAAGTCTTTGTCGGTGAAGTGGATTGTGTCTTGGATAGCACAACACATGGCACACTCATGTGGTCTAAGTTTCAAGCCTTCGTCCTTGCTTTCTTGCACTTCGTGGTCGTCGGGACTTACCAATACCGCTGTTAGTGCTCTTCACATCTTCTTTGGCAATCGTAGCGCTTCCTCAATGCTAAAGTGTGCTGGCAGACCTTCTTTAGGCGTGAGGGTCTTTTCTTCCACAGTGGCGATAGTTTTACCTTTTGAGGGCTTTTCCATCTCTATTTTAACCATGTGACAGGCCATGATAGTGCACTGTTGGAAGAAGTTCTTTGAGAAATACTTGTGCAAGGAGACAAGAATGCATGGCTCTTGCTCCCTAGGTTCCCCACTGTATGTTGGCTTAGCAACTCTTACGTTTCCTTTGGGCTTCTTGTTGGGCAGTGGTGATTTCCTCCTTGTTCCACCTTTGGCTGTGTGACTTGTGGTTTTAGCTTCCTTGTCTTTTTGTAGGTCACCAATGTCCATCTTTCTTCATCGTCGATAAATGCATTTTGGTCATTTACCCCCAGCAATGGTTGTGCAGAAGGTGTCATGTGGCTTGAGCATTGATGGAAATGGTCATGCATCATGTGCAGAAGGTGTTATGTGGCTTGTTGTGCCAGCTTCATGATGAGCTCTTTGAGGATGAAGCACTTGACAACAGGATGACTTACGATACGATGGTACTTGCAATACCTAGGATCATTAACGCGATTCATCTCTTCGAGGCGCTTGCATTCCGATAACTTGATCACCTTCTTTTCCAGTAAGTCATCTAACATTACAGCCATTTTTGAGTCAAGAAAAGGGTACATCTTTTGCTCCAGCACCTTCAAGGTGCTTTTGTACCTGTCTTGGGTCCGAGAAGGCTTATCTCTCTTTATCTCCTTCGCTTTGATCTTGGAGGAGATTTTGACAGGCGTAAAAGAGGTTTTAATGCGGGTAATGTTGATAGTAAAAGCTTCTTTGGTGGGCTTCTTCCCATGATTTTCCACATTCGGAGCAAATACCATATCCTTCTTGAAGTTGGAGATTGGCTCATTTTTTCCATGATGGGCGATGCTCAACTGCATGTCGTGGGCGTGGGTGGCTAAGTCTTCAAAGGTTCGTGGTTTAATGCCTTGAAAGATGTAATGTAACCCTTATTGCATGCCTTAGACGCACATCTCAATCGAGGATATCTCTAAAAGCCTATCTTTGTAGTCGAGGCTTAGAGTGCGCCATCAGTTGATGTAGTCCACGATTGGCTTGTCCTTTCATTGCTTCATGCTTGTCAACTCCAGCATGCTTACAGTGTGGCGGGTGTTGTAGAAATAGTTGAGGAATTCCCACTCCAATTGTTCCCAGCTGTTAATAGATTCAAGCTCTAGGTATGTGTACCAGTCGAATGCATTCTCCTTCAGAGAGTGGACAAACTGCTTCGCAAGGTAGTCTCCTTCTGTCCTCGTGTTGTTGCAAGTTTCAACTAAATGGGTGACATGCTGCTTTGGGTTTCCCTTTCCATCAAACTGCATAAACTTTGGTTGTTGATAACCTTCGGCATCTTCAGGGCGTCAATCTTCTTGGAGTAGGGCTTTGAGTACAACACTGAGGTATGTGAGCTCCCTTCATATTGTGCCTTAATGGTGTTAGCGATCATCTTATGCAGATGCTGGATAGAGAGAGATCTCATGAGTACCGCTACTTGGTCTAGCTCCAGCTTCTCTTTGACTTTCTTCACCGGAAGCTTCTCTTCTTCATCTGCTTCTTTCTTTAGTGGATCAACCTTTAAGTCGACTTTCACGTCGTGCTACGCCTCTAGTTAGTTGACGAGTGCAATGATTTACAAGTCTTTCTCCTCCACATTCCGTGTGAGGTTTGCGATCACTTTATTCATTTAAGCTAGTTGTTCCTCGATTGAAGTCACTCATGTGGTCATGACTTACATGGTTGAGCTGTTGCTCAAGTTGGCATCGGAAAGTAAAGACTCTGAGTACTTTTTTTGGGCTTTCCTCTCTTGGTGCCCTTAACGAGGCTAGGGTAATCACGGGCACGTGCCTTGGGTGTTCTTGTTCCTTCGGCAAAGTTAATGCAGGGGTGGAAGCTGTAGTAGAGAAAGCTCTTACCTTGCTTCGGGTTGTGATGCTCGAGGTGTCACCACTTGCAGCGAGAATGTTCTTGCTCTTCGCCTTGGTTGCGAGAACAGCTTGATCATTTCTTGATGCCATTTGTGCTTTTTCTTTTTTTTTTTGCAAATTTGAAGATAGAGATGAGAGGCAGAGATAGTCCCACTATGCGTGCCAAATTTGTAACCACGAATATTCCTGCGATGAATGAAACAAGAACACGTGTATCAAATAATATTTTGTATTAATTTTAGGGTTACAATCTATTTTACAATTTGATCCTCGGATTCTATCTTCATAAGGTGTAGATCTGTGGATGGGATGTTGATCCAAAGGGTCGTCGAGGCTTGGTCTAGGGATGAACAATGGTGCGGATTTGTTGATGTTGTTAATCCAAAGGGCCATTGGGGCTTGATCGTAGGATGAACTGATATTCAAGGGCCTTCGGGGTTTGATGTTGATGAACAGTTGTGTGGATTTCTTCAAGGGCATTTAGGCTTGATCTTGATGAACAGTTGTGTGGATTTCTTCAAGGATTTGATGAAGAACGAAAAGAGCTTTCTTGATCCTTCGGAATTCTTGGAAATTTGGGAGATTGGATTAAGGGTTGAAAAAAATACTGAATTTCCCAAACCAATCCGAAAAATTCCCGAAACCAAACCGACAAAATACCAAACTGAAAATCCCGAAACATTCGGTACCCAATACCTAACCAAACCGAAATTTTCGATATAGGAATCGGTTTCAAGTTTTCGTTTTTTTGGTATTCCCAAACCGAACCGAAATAAAAAAAATATATATATATTATTTAATTTTTAAATATATATTTGAAATTGTAACAACCGTCGGATTTGGTTTAGATTTAATCTGAACCGTTGAATAAAAATTAAACCCTACACTTGCACTCTGTCTCTCTCGTCTCTCTCGACACTCAGTTCACTCATTCTCTCTCGCGGCTTGCCTCAACCTCACCTCACTACCTTCGTCGCCGATTTATCTTTCCATTTCGAATCCGGCCACACAAGTGACTCACCTGAGTCACATCTCTCTCGACTATCACCTCTATGATCTTTCTCTTAGTCCCTCTCGACTTCTCATCCC